CTGAGATGGAGGAGAAACTTGATTTTATATTTCTCATTATTGTGGCCACGGGCTCTGATGCTTGGGCAACAACACATGTCTTCCCCTAGACTTTGGATGATCCCGAATATGCTCCTTTAAATTAAGTCTAAGAGGAAACACCACAAGAAAGAGAGCAAAGTGAATCAAGTCATTTCAAGTGATCCACACCCTCCACACAGAAGAGAAAAAAGAAAATAAAAGTTGACGCCCAACATTTATCTGAGTAGATTTCACAGTTGGTCACAACCTGCAATACTATGGCATCCAGTGCTCGCGTGGCTATTCAAGGATACCCAATTATGGGAGAAGTCTTGAAATTATTGGATTCCATTCTCGAGATATTCGATGATATGTTCTTATATTTATTTGTCATAAAACTTCTAGATGATCGAACAAAGTGGGAGGCTTTCATGACGATGGTACTGGAATAGAGGATTCCTTACCTCCGATATTTTTTAAACAACCAGTCTAGTTAATTTATGTATTTTTTTTAATTTCTTTTCCTCATTGGTTTATAAAAATTAAATGTTTTATGCTAAACAATATCCTTTGATATGTTCATGTGACATTTCAACATGGATATTTCACACTAGTCATAATACTTTATTTATGTAATTGTTCACTTATAGCATAACTTCTTATTTTTAATTTTTTGACTAATCTATTGAATATGATATTTTAGAGATAGGGGAACTAGCAACAATTATGACTATTACAATGTTTTATTAATGAGTACTATCAAGCAAATTTGTGTAGGACACTGTGCCTTCATCATCTATGGGTGACAATTGGATTGTTGACCCCCTCTAAGGTCATCTGAGTAGAATTCATAATATGTTTCGGATGCTAGGAAAATTTTTTTGTGATTTGCTGGCTGGATTGTAGAAATAATTATGTTTTGTATGAATTATTCCGATTTACTCCCACGGAAGTGTTGGTTATCACTTTATGTATTATGTCATATAATGAGTCAATTCGTGTTGCTTCCGAGTAACTCTAACACTCAACGTAAATAATTAGTGAATATTTTGATGTTGGGGTTAACTCTTTAATTAGAATGATAAACAACATTGCCAAACTCATAAATCCTGCTTTTACACACACACCAAGAGAAATACGTAATAATACAAGATAAATATCGTTCTTCAAGGTATTCATTTATCTATTTAATTTGCATAGATTTTTTACAAAAATATTATTCTAATAAATATTTGAAAAATGATTGTATAAGTGCATATGATGACATATATGCCAATGCATGCATTAACGACAATAATAAGATTGCATATATTGAATATTGTCGAGACAAAATATAGAATATCTTAATAGTTTGTGATTTTAACATTTTTTTTATGTTCATAATAGCTGGATGTGAAGAGAGTGCTCATGATAGTTACATTTTCAAGTTCACTGCTCGACGTTGTGAATACAAATTTTGAATGTCTTCACTCAGTTTGTACATTTATGATCGTATATGAAGTGTTACATTTAAAAATATTTATTTATAATGTTATAGCCAGGGAAATATTACCTCGTCGATTCAGAATATCCCATGCAACGATGTTTTTTAAAGTTATTACCTAATATGAAATATCATCTTCCTGAATTTGAGTTTAACAGCCAAATGATTATGAGGAATGAATTGTTTAACAAAATACCCTCATCATTACGGAGTGTTATCGAGGGAGCATTCGATGTATTGGAAGAAGAAGTGGGTCATACTCCAATATATGTTTAGATGTCCTTTAAAAAAATAGATCAAGATAGTTGTTGCAGCGACAGCTCTACATAATTTTATACGTAGACATTCATCTCGAGATGACGTTGATTTCAGGGTCTTGGATGAAAATTCAACATGCATACTTGTCGAGTCATTCAAACATCAGACAGGTTAATCATTTACTTGAGGAAAATTTTCATGCAAATGACTTCAACACACCCAATGGGAGGGTGTTCAAGTGATGATACAGTTGAGAGAAGACATTACAGTTGCATTAGTGAATTTATTAAAAATATTTAATTAATATTTTTGTGTCTTCATGTGGATTTTTACTATTTCAGATGGAGTGAGGATTGGTTGTTTATTTTCTCTTTTATGTTTCAATATTTTATTTTGTAAGGTTATAATAAAGATGCATATTTTTTCTGATATCTAATTTTTTTTTATGAACCATATTTTTTTTTTCTATTGTATATGTCATTAAAAGCATAATATATTATAATTTTAGGAAAAATGAGTTCAAGGTTATAAGTACCTTTAGAATTCTGTACTGTTATTGTGGAGTCCGCTTCAGATAGTGAACTAATCAGGAGAGATGTTATTGATAGAAAAATATCTCGAAGAATTAATCGTCTGTACATGCGAACTTCATTATTTCATTACTGGTTATTTTTGTGGTTTCTATTATTGTAATATTATGCATAAAATGATGGCTTATAATTGATGTATTGGATAAATTTGGACTCATGATATATTTTTTGTATTGTTGGAGTTATTTTTGTTATTTTGCTATAATTATTTTGAAAATTATAGTCATTCGGCTAATTTACATCTATAAGAACATAATTGTCTTTTTCATCAGAAACATCTGCAACACAACAGATTATCCTAATAGTATCACTACTATTCCAGCAATAGCTTTCTACAGCAGCTGTGAAGGTGCTTCTTGGGAAGCAGTTTCACAATTGCTGCTTCAAAAAACAGTAGCCGCCCCTAGCACACCCTAAGTTTGCATTTTCTAGTTTGAAATTTGCCTATGGATATCAAGTTTAGAGCTTCTCTAATTCTTGGAGTGGCTTTTGGAACACGCTTCAATAGTCCTTGAGCCATTCTTATTACTCTTTTTTTCTAGTTAAGTTAACTCTGAACTGTTTGTTAGTGGCAAAACATTGATTCTCTATATTCACTGAATTCTCTTTAATTTGTTGCTCCTGTGGATGCAATGGCTTGACATTTGATTCACGACAGTAGTTCATGCTCGCTATTCTCTTGAGGATGGTGACTCCAGGTTTTTCTATGAATTACCCTAGAAATTTACTAACAAGAATAACATGACAGATAATAACTAAAGAGAGAAAAAGAACTTAATGTAAAAGCTTTAGAATTTCATTAGATTTAGAGTACAAATGATTTGATGTCCTAGGTTCTTTCTCTAACTTTCCTTTTTCATTGGCTTAGGTAGAGATTTAATGCTACAGAAAGGGTTATATTTCTATTATTGAAGTAAAAAAATAATAAGGTTTAGTAGTTAGTTGCTATAAAATACATGAAGCTGTAGCCTTAAGTACAGAAATAATTCATTAATCAGTTAGTAAAAGCATAATCCATTAGATGTCATTTGTCGACTTCACTTGACTCTACTGAGGATTAGTGAGTTGCTTTGGTACTTGAAATTATTATCTTAACTAGTCAAGGTGAGTGCAATTATAAAAATGTCTTAGTACTTGGACGATTAGACTTCATAGGTTTAGGCCATTTACGTTTGAATTTACTATCTTGACTTGGATTGTACACTTTGACTTTGGCAAGTTCCCCATGATTCTTGTGAATTTATTTTAATTTTGGGAAGTTCATTTCTTTTTTATTTCGCGAGTTCAATAGGTTGACTTAACATTGCTATTGCCGGGTCTCAAGTGCTGGATGTGAAAAGTGAAGGGTTACATTAGGTAGTCGGCAACCAGTGTTAAAATTTTGTTGAATAACTATAACATGAATAATTTCCCACTTATTAGGACAAAGGCTTGTTGTTTTTAGTGTGGTTGTTGAGTTCAATAGATTGGCTTCTCTAATATAACTAACTTGCCTCAAACACTGAATTGGGCCGACTAAAACCATATCTGAGAGATATTAACATTGTTTTGCCTTTACTTTATATTTTTTTCATACATATAGTTGTGGCTACATGCAAATATGCATAAAATATTGAATTAGGACATGTAATTCGCATGTTTAAAGACAAGGTTGAACCTCAACTCAAGTAGAAGCGCCACTTTTGTGGCATTCATCTTTTTATTAAAAATATAATAGTGAAGTTAATTTTTTAGTACTAAAAGATTTTTATTACTCGGTCCGTTTGATTGAAAATTTTAGGCTTTGCTTGGTTTGAAGGATTATAGAGAGGAAATGGAAAGGGTATGAAAAAGGAAATGGTGAGAGAATTGAAATTGTTTTTCAACTACTTGTTTGGTTAGGACAAAATCTAGCAAAAACATATTTTCTTTTTTTTTTGGTTGAGAAATAATAACCAATAAATTAAAAAATAAATAATGTCTAATGCTATTATTCATTCATTAGGTTGTTTGTATGGGAAAAGTAATGTAGAGTATACAAAGTGCAAAAGTTTTGATATCTTGCGTTTGGTTAAGAGAAAAATACATAAAAAATTAATGAATTGATGAATTTGTAATCTCCTATTTAACTCATTTCTAATTTTTTTCTAACAGGGCAAATAGTCTCCTCTCATTGTTTGGTTGCTTATGGTGTGTTGGCTCGAGTTTTGTAATTTGCCGCTCACTTTCTAGATCCTCCATCCTCTACTATGCTTGATAACACGATGATCTTGCACTTGCCACTTGTTGTATGTTTGTTAAAAATAAGAAATAAAACATAATAAATCCTCAGTACTTGCTACCAAAAATATAAGCAATTCATCCAATTTTTTATTTTTTACAACTAAATAACAATGAGTATTCTAAATACATTTTATTTTACTTTATGCTAATTAAAATAAACTTAATTTCAAGATACATGTAACCGTATAAGTTCGTAATTTTTTTTAATCAATTTCTTATTACAAATCCAAGTCAAACAACTTTAATGTAATTGTGAGGTTAAAACCTCCAATTCAGACACATTAAGAATCTCTGTTCCATGCTCTTTAATTTTGTTGTCTAGGGAAGCCATCTTCGGCTATCCCTGTATAGAATTTGTGATTCTTATGATGAGCCTAATGTATCTTGACTGTTAATTCTATTTGCAGAAGCTGCTTTTCATTGACTCAGCTGAGGGAATTTCTTCCACACTAAGGCCATATTGGTCAGCAGCAACAGAAGGACAAGCTACCGTTGTCCAGGCCATGCCTGATATGCTAGAAATTGTTCCGATAGGGACATCAAAAGGCAGTGGAGTAAAACTGCTGCTGGCTCATCTTGGTGTTTCAGAGAATGAGGTATTTTTGTACTTTCATATTCCCTTGTATGTGTGTGTGTGTTCGTGTCTATATATATATATATATATATATATATATAACCAAATAGAAGCTTTAGCTAGTCTTTGTGATTCCTCGTAATATTATCTATTTTCATTTGTGTGACAAATGGTTTCTTGCATGCTGTGATCAGTAAACTTAGGTAAAAAATGATTTGACGCATCTTTTTTTATGTAATGTAGCTTTTGAACTGTGGTCTTTATTTTGAAATTTAGTCATGGGGCGGGAGAGACTTGATTAATTGTATAATAGAGCTTTGGTTCAACTTTTCTTTTCCAATTGCAAATTTGTAAATACTGAAAAAAAAAAAAAAAAACTATGAACAGGTAATGGCTATTGGCGATGGAGAAAATGACGTGGAGATGCTAGAGCTGGCATCATTAGGCATCGCACTCGCGAATGGTTCAGATAAGGCTAAAGCTGTGGCTGATGTAATTGGAGCGACCAATGATGAGGATGGAGTTGCAGAAGCAATATACAAGTACGTCTTATGACATGCAGCCAAAGCTCAAAGATGATGGGAAGAAGTTTGTACAACATTTTTTAATGGCTGGTATAGCTCATATGTTATTGCTAATTATATGGGCGAAATATTTTTCTTGAAGGAATGGAACTGAAAATGATCAACACTACGGGTTTCTCAACGGACGGTCAATTATCCGAGCTTCTTGTGATATGTTTTAGGGCAGACAACAAGTCTTGCACTCTAATTATATATTTCAAGGAGTTGCGAGATAATATTCTATCCGGAATCCGGATGTAAATTACGTTCGGAGTCTAATGATGGGGCGTCACTTGTGTTAAGTGGGCCCCATCAAAATACACTGGTATTGACCAGTGTTAAAAATTGTGGGGCCCACTTGACATGTGACACATCGCCATTGGACTTCAGATGCAGCTGTAATATTTTTTCAGCAAGAGATAATATTGCATCCGGATTCTGGATGAATGGTGCCTCACCATTGGACTCCGGATGCATCCGGTGTCCGCATGTAATTTTTTTTCAAGTGCTTTTGGTGGTATAATTACTGAATTAGCGATGCTGTTTTCTTCTTTAAAAAAATGATAGATGGGCCAGGGCACTCTTTTGGGGGGTTTGAAATTATTATGGTGTGGAGGGCTGAAGGATGATGTTTAACTAGAGCCTGTGGAAATATGAACTAAAGCCCATTAAGGGAAAAGAGTGCTGTGCATGATGGGGGGCAGCAATGCTTTTTCATTTCCGCATGTTAGGGAGACAAGAAGGGTTTCTAAGGAAGAATTTGTTCAAAATAGCATTACTGGATGGGCATGTGGACATTCGCTTCATTGTCTCTTATCTTATATGCCCAAAGTTATATTTTTTTGTTTGTGGGGGAACATAACATATATGTAACGCACAATAACCATACATTTGTGTATTTAAAGCCTAAATTTTTATTTTTATATTCAAAACACTTATATCTTTTGTATCACAAGAAAAAAAAAAAAATCAATATTGTCAACTTCTAAAAAGTGGAATATTCCTTTTTTACATATAAGTTGTTACAATTGTAAAAATTAAAATTTAGGTGTTTAAATAAGTAAATAAATAGTAATTTTATTGTGCATATCTAACTTTTTTTTTCTTAAATGAATTATGCTGTCATGATATATGACAAACATGAAATTTGATTTTTATGTTTCTAATGGTAAAAATATGAAAATTATCTGCTTGTTTGTATTCTTTGAGAAGTATGTTGACATTATTTTGGGCCAAAATGTCTACCATTTAGTAAATAAACATAATTTTTATAATCAGGATTACTAACTGATTTACTGTAAGTGCAACGGCATACATATGGATTAAGGGCCTAAACAACTTGTCATTAATATTATAGTTGGAAACACTCAATACTATTATAATGAAAGATTTACATGCATACCACTCAATTATTTTGTATTCACATATCTAACACCTAAGCTTCAATTTTTACATATAAGCCACCAAACTTATGCATGAATAATCTTATATCACTTCTAAGAATGGTGACATAAATGTATAAGGCAAAATTCAGGTGTTAGATATGTAAATACATAAAATTTGAGTGCTAGGTATGTAAATGTCCCTATTGTAATATATGTAATGCTGCATAAATTTAGGAGTCATTTAGGATTATTTTTTATTTAACTAATATATTTGTTTTTTTTTTCCTTAAATTGTAGCATATTTTATAATTTAAAGATATTTTATTTTTTCATTTATTAAATATCACAACATGTTTGGTCTCCAGAAGATGTGGGCGTCAAACAGTGAATGTGTGGCAGGGGAAAGCAGCAGCCAATTGACGGCGTCAGAAGATTGGGACCAAACTTTTTTTTTATTATTATTTTAAAACACATAAATATATATTCAAGTATTTTAAAAAATAAATTAATTTACTATTAAATAAAAAATAAATTGGATAAAACACACAAATCTATAAATAGTGTACATTCGTTTTCATGCGGTATATCAAAGAGGTTTAACAATTTGACAATATATGGTCGCCTGAACTTTGTGATTAATAAATAGTGCAAATGACTAATTGGGTTTAATATATTCAAAATTTTGATTTCTAACTTCAAGTAACCAAAAGTGTCCTTAGCATAATAACAAATGCAAAGAATTCATATGCATTCAAAGTTTATTTATGCCTAATATATAGTAGGTAGGCTCCATGAAATCTTTAGATTGTGTTATGAGTGGAGTTATTACATCACACTGAGGGTTTGTTTGCAATGTCTTTCTGTTTATTTTGCATTTTAGATTATCATCATAGTTCTTTTTGGGAAATTATTTTCTTGCTAATTTCTCGAAATTTTTATGGTAAGAATCTGTTTTTTTTTTTCAATGTGGCATGTTAAAGTGCACTGTTTGTAAAAAAGTTGATGTGATTTTTTTCAAAAATTATATATTTTTTTTAATCTCCACCACAGTTTTCTAAGAAGTTGTTTTCTCCACCCCCAACTTTACAATGATCTTTTTAATAAGATGCAGCTACCCTAAACAAACCACAAGGCTTTGTTTGGGTGGGCTTCTCCTTTTATAATTTTTTTTTAAAAACAATTTCAATAGAAGGAGCGGTATAATTGTGTACTTTTTAACATTATTACTTATAATTTTTTTAACATTAGAGACTATAATTACCCAAATATTTTAAATTTCATCCATCATATAAAATTTAAATTCGACTAAATTCGAAAAACACAGATTTACCAAATCCAGATGCTGCTAACTCTAGAATAGTTTTTGGTTCAATAAAGATTAAATCTAGCTAAATTGATTTAACATATTTAACATGTTATTTTAGTATTTAACAACAATTCATTTTCAAAGATTTTGAATATGAAATACAAGGCTCACACAACATAATTTTTAAATTGCTAAAAAATTTGATGTCGCGTACAAAAGTAAAAAATAACGCAATTTTCTTTTTCATAATGTCACGTGCGATGCTGAGGAACTCTTTGCCCACTAAATAATCTTCTCTTTCTTGAAAAGTTTCATTTCTTTACCCTCATTGATTCATCTCCAATGCTTTTCTTCTCCATTGGAAAATCCCATGCAGAGTACTCACACGGATTGCTTTCATCCCATTGGCTCTTGCTTTTTCTTCTTACGGTGGGACCACTCTCATAAATGACATCGAAGAATTGATTTTCAGGCTTTGTGTAGAAAAAGTGAAATGGTGAAAGTGATGATGAACAATCCATTCCATCTAAAGTGATTACATTCGTATTCTTCTCCCTCATCGTTAAACTCGATAACTAACTTTTGCAATCGCATAAGAATAATATTGACATTTCCAGTTATAGAGATAGTGATTTGAAATAGGGGAGAAATGTCATTAAGGTGGGAGAAAATTTCGAAGAGGTGAATAGCCAAATAGAACTATAGCATTATAAGTGTTCGGTAGAATAGAAATGAGCTGACAAAAAACTTCAAAAAAAATTACTTAGCACTCTGCAAAATGCAAACAGTTCCATATTGCAGATCCAGTCCCCAATTTTGTTTATAGGGTTGCAATTATGTTTATGTATCACTAACTGATTTTTTGTTTTCATCAGTAAAAGTACAGTGCGGCGTCATTTATTGAAGAAATAGCACAAAATGTATTTTTTTTTCATTTATAGTTTATTTTCAGCTTCTTCAACATATTAATTTTTTATTTTATTTTTCATTCAAGTCTTACGAAGTCAATAACCGGAATCAATTTACTAATTTTATTTTTAATTTCATTTTGTTTGAATGTGTAAAATATTACTTAGAAATATAATAAAATAATTAAAATACCAAAATTGAACGCTCCCTTCTCTAAAAGAGAAAAGAAAAATTATGTAAGAATGCTAAGATAGGATTTACTCTGTTCAGTGATCAAAGAAAAAGTGCGGTCATTATTTGTTATGGCAGAAGTGATGGTGAGTGTTGGCACTATTTTTGGTGTGGGGTTTGCCCGTAAGAAGCTGTCGGTCATCGGAATTGAAATCCCGTTGTCTGCTTCGGAAGGACATTTAAAAAAATTTAATTTTGAAAAAGATGAAGTCAAACTGACTCCATAATTTTCATAGTTTAGATGAAAGAGCGTTTTACCTCAAATCCTGTATCTATCCCGAATGATGAACACAAGAAAGATACAAAAGTATGCAAAGTGTGTAATTATGCATGAATGAAGTAAATTTATCATCTCTAACAAAAGCAAAAAGAGAGTATCTTTTTTATTGTTCAAAATAAAACTATCTTGTAAGGCAAGCTAAGTACAATGGTGGCCTGCTTTGTTATTGTTTATGGCAGTGTGATAAAAAAGAACTTGCCTACACTGTCAAAAATGAGAGGTCTAAGTATCTTGCCAACTCTTCCTCTCCAATATGAGAAGCCATACGATTGCTTAAATTACTATTAATATCTCAACACTAATGAAGAGCATGACCACTCTCTTAGGTTTAAAATTACACAATTAGATACTTAGGCAATTTTTTTCTGTGAGACAAGACATAAGCCTCACAATCAAAAAATTACATAGAACTAAAATGAAAGTAAAAACCAATATATTAGCATTATAACATATAAATATATTAAAGAAAGATTAATATAATAAGAAGTAGCAAATTACTCATATAACAAATATAAAATTACAAGCTTTTTAGTATCATGTAGTAAATTGTCCGAAGTAGAAGTGCAATACAAACATCAATTGGTAAAAAATAACATAAGATGTCAATGAAAGTAATATAATGTATCAAAAGAATGTACAACATCAAATAAGTTTATTATAATAAATTTCTCTCTTACACCAATTGTCCAACATATTAGTATCTATAGTTTCCAATGAGAATATGTCGAGTATTAAAAAATCCTTAATACTCTCATCTCCTAGGGTGTTTTCCGTTCAAGTTGGTATCATAATAAATGACAATATTTTGAGTAAATAGGCTGAATGCCTT